TATCTATATATTGTGAGTTTTTTATTCTTTCTTTATTTTAAATTTCTCACTTTTTAATTATGATTTTCCTTTTTTATATTTTCTGAATGAATATATTATTTAACATTTTTGTAGTAATTAGGGTTTTTGTCATAGAAAAATTTCTTGGCAATTTTACGGTTTTTTTGTGTGTGCGTGTCAAGATCACATTTATAAACGAGATACCATTTTTTTTTGTTTTTTTATGGATAGAGTGCAAACGTATGAATTTACACGGTTGAGAATTGATCCAGAAAATTAAAAAACTCTCGAATTTTTCACCCTACCATTTTGCAAAGTAGCTTGTGAAATCCAAGTACGTGTAAAATTACATATGAATTTAATTAAACGAGTGACCATAATTAATTAATTAATGTGTATTCACTAATCACAGGGAAGAAGATGATGTGCAGAAGAGAAAAAGAAGAATTCATGCTGGAGAATTTGGAGGTGGAAATGATGGACATTTCAATTTGAGTGCATTTTCACGAGAATGTAAAATATATGTTCGAAGAGGATAATAATTTTTATTTATACTTGAATTTTTTGTAATTTTCATAGTCTATGGTCAAATTAAACTTGAGTAATTAAAGGGAAGGTTTGACTCTCTCTCTCTCTCTCTCTCTCTCTCTCTCTCTCTCTCTCTCTCTCCACCTTTTATTTATTTATTTATTTTTATTTAACACTTTACTCAACCTTTTGTTGGAAGTTTGACATGGACCCTAATCTATTGACGTAAAGATGGAGAAGTCGATTTTATTTCCCTAGTTACATGAAAGGAGAATGGAGAAAAAATAAATTTGTGAGTTTTTTTTTTTGGGTGCCAAAACAACAAATGGTATACTCTTTCTCTCTTTCTTTATGTATATTGTATATACAAAAAATTCACAACATGGAAGAATAACGTATCCTTGTAACATTTTTCAACCATTTAAGCATCATTTGACATGTTAAATATCACAAGTCCTTAGGAATGAACTGATTTTTTTAGGGTGTTTATTTTGGCTACATTCAATATCTTCAATTTTCGCTTCTTGTTGCACTTATGTCAACACTTTTCTTATCTTCAATTTTATATTATTTAGCACATCAAGTTCTTGATTAATGGCTTATGCCTATCAGTGTGCTTTGAATTATTACAAATATCAAGTCGTACTTTATATTGGTCATTTTTTGTTTATTTAGAAATATGAGAGGCAAATTAATTTTTTAAGTCCTCCCAACGAACTTTTTGGACAAAAAGCGTTAGCAAAGACAAGATAAACTACTTATTGGAATATTGATGAAAAGAATGAAACAAAATAAAAGTTGAGGACATAAGTACAGCAAAGAATAAAGTTATGAACATTTCATGAGGTGAAAAGTAGTTCACCAAACAATAATTTTGATGTCAATATAACCACCTTAATAGGCTGTTTCTACCCTTTTTTTTCCTTGTTCGGGTTATTTTTAATCATAAGAAACGTTCTCTTTTAGGCCTTTCAACCAATCGATCTGACCCCGGAGAGCTACTTTTGCTAAAAGTTGAGTAATTTGTAAATTTTTTACGAACATTTTTTTTATCAAATTATAATAGAGTGCAAATCGTAAATCTAGAAAATATGGTATGTAAAATGTAAATACAGTCTATATCGAGGGTGTGAGTGAAAAATCTGTAGAGACCAAAGTGAAAATAAATAATAAAGGCAAGCATGGAGGGAAAAATGTGAGTTAAAAAGAGGAACATGTAAGAAAATAAGAGAAACAATAAACATATTTTTTAGGCATATATGAGTGTTCTAATTTTTGAGTAGGGCAAAGTTGAGAGAGAGAGAGAGAGAGAGAGATAATATTGTATTGTAAAATTTTCTTATCTAATAAAACCCTCTTATCTTGTGAGTACTGACAATTCATTAAATCACGTTATTTGCGACAAAAAGATGACTAAAAGGTTTTGATTTGGGCCCATTGCGGGCCATTTGGTTTGAATATCTTGACTTATTGAAATATTTTAGTAGAAAATTACCGTTCAAGTTTCAATTTCATTAAACAGATACCAATAATATTTTATCAAAAATCAAGTATATCCCACTCCACAGCACCTGTCTGTGTATATAATATACATATATACTAAAATGACGATGAATTCTTTTCACCCCATCTCCCACTCACAGGCCTTCATCGGCGTCAGTCTAGTGGCGACAACACATCCAAGAATCTCCCGTGGGCCTCACGCCATCTTCAAATGGAGAAAATTTGGTGCAATCGAGCCACCCCCATATCGAATGGCTTACCCTCATTCAATGAGATGAGGCCACCCTGAGATTTGAGGTGGAAAGAGAAAAAAAATCAAGTTTCAAGGTGATCTCACTTCATTGGGTGAGAGTGGGCCTCCCGATGTGGTGGCTGCTCTCCATTGGGCGGTTGTACTGTCCCACTAAAGTTATTCTCCTTCAAATGGCCCAACCAGTCACGCAACCCCCTCTTAAGTCTCTTTTTGGTTTGATTTTCTCTACTTGTTCATAAATAAAAAGTATGCAATAACTAGAATGCCATTGAGCTTTCTATCTATTGATATCGAAATCGGAGGACTGCCATCGAACTAGTGGAATGAAATCAATGAATTGGTCAAATGTCAAGACGGATTATTCTTCACTCTACGTGCAGCTTATGTCCTCATTTTCCACATTGCTCTTGTAAGTAATGAAAATAGGTTGGTGGATTCCACATCATGGCTCATCTTTAATGTTGTCACCGGTGATTGTAGACCTATTTCGACCATGGGTACCACCGTTAACTAGTCAGTCACACCATTAGATAACATATGTAACTGTGACCTTTTTTGATAAATGACTATGACATATAAATTAGGTAATTCGTGACTTAGTATGTGACTCTAGTCCATAAAATGTGGTATATGACTTTGATTTTGTGTTATTTGTGACTTAATATGTGATAGTAACCTATAAATATGTAATATGTAACTGTGACGTGTATTAATTTCAATTTATGGGACAATATTTATCAGAGGTCATGGTGATGTACCACTTGATTCTTGAAATTATTTTTTACAAGTTTTAAATTTTAAAATAGTATTCTTAGAATATTGTAATTATGAAATTTTCCCATAATGTAGTGGTTTAAAATCAGAACTTATTGAATCCAATTATCATTTTACTTATCTATGAGTGATTATTCATTTTCTAATTATAACCATTTCCATAACTAATTATATAAATATCATAATTAATGAATTTTGCATAATCTATATCACAAGAAGCCTTAATCGGCTATTTAAAAAAGATAAAATTAATTTAGTTGTGTTTCCAGTTTCATTTTTATAATGCAACCAATGTAATATCATGAAGATTTTTATTTTTCATATCTGTAATCGGACTCTGCTAAACTGCAATTTAGTGTAAAGCTATATTATAAACAATATTGCTACTCCTGTCGCGCTAATGAGAAATTTTTTACTGAAAATCATGACGAAATGCCTGTGTAGTTAGTGTAGAAATTTTTGTGAACATTCATAGAAGAGCTTCTGGAATATTTGGGCCAGTTTTGAAACTTTAATTTGGGTTGGACTTTAAACTGGCCCAAAATCTCACTTCTCTGCTTTATGAATGGGCTAAAATTGAGTAGGCTCAATCTACTTCAATATGGAAGACAATTTTTCTCCGGGTCATCCTTGGTGTACATAATTTAAGTTCGTAAGGATATCCACACCCCTCACATGGGGTGGGATTCGCGCGAGTTGGGCTTCATTCCATGTGCGGGGTTTGGACACCCCTATATACATATTTTATATATATCAAGACTTATCTTTTTTTTTCCTTCGGTGCCGAGCTGCTTGCCAGTTTCTTCCTAATATAAAGGGATCCGAACCCAATATTCAACTAACGGTGAGAAATTGAGGGTGCATGTGATATCTACCATATTATACTGAATAAGATAAAAATTATTTTAATAAGATATTTGGTGTTGTTCTACTTTCTATCTTTAATTAAAGTGACAGACACATTAATGTGTATTTCTTGATGATTGATCCTCACTGAGAATGGTTGCCAGACGAGAGAAAACAATGTCCTTAAAGGTCTGTCAAGTAAAATAATAAGCTTCACGAGAGCCAGGGACGGGGCAGTCCAGACTTGCCCCCAGACCCAACTAAAATTATAGGCAAAAAAATTTAGCTAAAAAATTTTTTTTAAAAAAAATCTAATCGAATTATTTTTTCTACATATCAGTCCAGTAAGGAGGAAAAATGGGGGAAGATGTTAAGGAAATATAATTGCAAATCGGTTAAATATCGAAATATAGACCAACTTATAAGATCTTGGGTTACTCTGCTGAATAATGTTAACCTTTTAAGATGGAACCACAAATTTTAACTAAAGATTGTCCCCCCCCCCCCTCCCGCCCACCCCTCATATAGCTCTCCAGCCCTCTTGGCTGACCATTCATGTTGATCATGTCATGATAATGTTGCAAAAATACTTGTCTATCCTTTGGTAAGGCTATATGTCTAGGGCCACAAGGGTCCTAGACGGACCGGGGCACCATTTGGAGTTCCCTGCCAATAGAGGACTTGGCATTGGAGAGTTAACTTTTTCCTTCTTACTATAAATAGTACGTTGAGAGTGGGCAAAAATGGGTGTTGCCTACATATCACTCCAAGCATCTTATTGGATAAAAGAGTCCTCGACCTATCTTGTCGGTATCCGAATTCGGATATTGTAAGAGGGTAAAGATTTTTGAATTGTTTTTCTTCGTCTAGCTAATCATCACATAATCATCCAGTAATATTAATGTACTCATGAATTAGCGTAAATAAGGATCCCACCAAATTTACTTTTATTTTTATGAATCAATACCAAACACCTTGCTATATTGTACCTCAAAATTGGTTATATCTTGTGGATGGAATTAATCTTAATTTTTTTACTTCACTAAATTAGCTTAAAAATGAGTTACCTCATCCTTAAAAATCCAAATTCATTTCAACTTTGAATTTTAGCCACCAATGAGTTCAAGCTCCATGCTGCCACGCACGAGACACACGGCCATATTTTCCTCAGCACCGATGTACAGAACAAAACAATCCAACCGACCCCAGAAGTGAACAAGAACTGGAGAAGTATTAACACACAAACTACCCAGAAAAATCCCCGACCAAGAATGGTGATGAATTCTCCGGCTTATTCATGTTCTCCTTCCTCTTCCACAAGGCCTCCTCCTATCAAGGTCTCTCGTTTTCTCTATTTATCTGTGCTTTAAAACATGAATTTATGTCTTGTTGGTTAAGTGACACCGTGAATTTTAATTCGATTGTTGTAGGTTTCCAGTTTCTTGGACAATCGATTTTTGTTATCTAGGAGAAGCAATCTGGCGCGGCGAACCTCATGGCGTTCTCATCGAATTGGTTTCACTAAAGTTCCGTGGCAGCCCGGTGAGTGTTTTTGCTTTCTTTCCATCCCAAGGCTGCGTTAACTGTTTGGTTTCTGAAAATTTGAATAATGGATTCTGAAAATGTTTGATTGACATGATAATTGGATATGTTTTGTTTGATAGCTGTGCTATTGACCTTAACAAGAATACATATATTTATTATAACACTAATTAATTTAATTCATATAGACGTGATAATCACAAAAATATAAGCACGCGACGTTACAGAAATGCAAAGCTATCTCCATAAATATGGGTTCTAAATTTAGTAGGTGAAATTTATATTTCCCTTCATTGTGTGTAAGATTTCAAATTTTCAAAAGTATGTGTTACCTTTTTGCAATTTTTTGTTTAGCTGAAATGATATTGTTTGTTTGTTATCTGCAGTTGTGAAGGCTGTTGCTACCCAAGATTCGGCCGTGGAATTGCCTCTGACTGCAGAAAATGTTGACAGCATATTGGATGAGATTCGACCTTATCTCATAGCAGATGGGGGTAATGTTGCTTTACATGAAATTGATGGAAATGTTGTAAAGGTGAAGCTACAAGGAGCATGTGGCTCGTGTCCGAGTTCTGTAATGACGATGAAAATGGGCATTGAGCGCCGCCTGATGGAAAAGATCCCTGAAATTATTGCTGTTGAATCAATATCAGATGAAGAAACTGGTCTTGAGCTGAATGAAGAAAACATTGAAATGGTACATATACCCATCTACAGACAGTTACAGTCATTCATTTATACAGCTGTTTCGTGTTCCATTAGATAAGTTTTTACCTCAAATAAAGTGATATAATGTTACCATGTTACCTGAAGTTTTACGATTTTGAAGAATGAAATCTGATATGTTTGTTATCAAAATAAGATTGGATCTAACTCGGTTACCCTATTTTGTATGCAATATAGAAGAGTGCTGTTTATGAGTTAAATGAAACAGAAAAGGAAATTATGGACAATAGTTGATGGAGGGCTCATGTTGCAATGGGAGGTATCACTACAAGTACGACTGGGTTATTTTAGGTATCATCTTGTGTTGGTGCTAGAAAGATAGGGAAAGAGCTGTTGAACTACAACCAATGGGCGACGCTTGGGCACAATTTATGGTTTAGAACAAGGTTTAGAACAAGAAGAATTGTTGTGGATTAATGTAAAATTGGTGAGATAGTAGAGATCAGAAACAACATCATTGGTTACAATTTCTGGTTTAAAACAAGAAGAATTGTCGTGGATTAATGTAAAATTGGCAAAATAGTAGAGAACAGAAACAACATCATTTAGGGAATAAAAATTCTAATTATCATATGTTGAAGTGCAAGAATATGGTGGCTGACGCATTACTTGAACACTTGTGGTTTCACTTTTCAGTTCGAATATGAAGCCTTCAATGTACATATCCTTTAGTTAAATTTTTAGTCATAATGAACTTTCTAATCTATCTGGTACGATTCTAATTGGATACAAAATCAGTATTTTAGTATAGACAGCTGGATTTTGGCACAGAACCCTTTCCAAACCTTAAATTATCGACATGTAGTCCATCTTCACATTGAGTTATAATAATCGTCTGTCTATTTATTTAACATGCATGAGTAATGGCATTACCGTGCTGGGGCTTTTCTTGTTCTTTTTCTATGAAGGTTCTTGCCTCAAAAATTTGCTAAACTGTTTTAGGTACTGGAAGAACTAAGACCTTACCTTGTTGGGACAGCTGGTGGAACTTTAGAACTCGTGGAAATTGAGGAGCCAATAGTGAAAGTTCGGATATCAGGTCCTGCAGCAGGTGTGATGACTGTTCGAATAGCAGTGACTCAGAAACTTCGAGAGAAAATCCCAGCAATTGCTGCTGTTCAACTCTTGTCATAAGAAATTACTCAGACCTTTTTTCTTGTCGAATTTATCCAACAAACCCAATAGATTGAAGACAAAGTGAATTTAATTGAAGACTTGGTGCATTGTTGAATTTAAGCCTTGGTGAGAAAATAGTTGGCCTAGTCCTATGATTCAGAAGTAGCAGGGTAGATCATACATAGTGCAGAATATGCCTACTACTTTATTTTGTACAGTTTATTGGCTCGAGTCAGCTGATCACTGTTATTTATAATTTCGTGAAGAAATTTTTTTGCTTCAACTGTGGATTGAATTGTATGAATGGCCTATATGTTGATCAGGCCTTACCAGGGATTACAGAATGCGCCGGTTATGTATGAAGTGTCTCAGACACGAATATAAGGAGCTCCTAGTTTTTGTACAAACTGAGGTGGAATAAACAAAGATGCAAATGAAGTTCCGTAACTTAGGTGGATCGTGTAATTAGGATTTTAAACCCGTGCCCTCGTAAATTCTCGTTTATACTCCCTCTTCCATTCAATGCTTGATGTTCGCTTTCAGAAAATTGGAAAAGGAAAAAAATTACTATTTTCTGTTCAAAATTCTCCCTAAGGTATGTGACAATGATTACGGTTCGTTGTCCTAATATGTCATATGAAACAATTACTTGATTCCATCGAGCTTGACACTACAGTCTACACCATATAAGTTCATAATATTTTAAGTGACATTTAAAGTTATGTCGAGCCAAAATCTTGAAATTAGCTTCCCTTAGATACATGGAGTATCATATCATATCATTTCCAATGAGAGAGTATGCTAAAATCCATGTTCTAACATAGTTTTCTTCTCTTTCCCTTTCCAACCATTTCTACGATTCATTTGCTTTACCTGGCTCCCCCTCATGCAGCATAATTCTTTCGTCACTAACACTGGTAATGCCCAATTCAATGTCTCCCCTCTCCATCCTTTGTGTTCGCATTAACATTTCCTACTCTGTCTTGTAAGGCTCATAGAGCATTAATCTCTTGATTGGACTGGTCTTTTTTGACTCTTAATTTTCTTTTCTAAACAAATCGAAGTACCTAATGGATTGAACTTAAACTCAGGGCAGTTGGATCACCCCTTCTATTCGTCCTATACATGTCTAATATCCCTATTGTTAACTCTCATGGACATTATGCTCATGTTATTATTTGAGTTTTAAACTTTTTCTTTGTGAGATATTGTGTATAATCCATCCGTATATTGAGCGTGCAATGGTTTTTATGTCTATCAAGAATGAATAAAATTCCTCCCCCCCCCCCCCCCCCCCCCCTTTTTTTTTTTTTTTTTTTTTTACAATTAATAATTTTTTTTACCAGTAAGTCAGTAAAGAATACTTGTGTGACTAACTTCAAAACTTAATTCTAATGTAAATTAAAAATTCACATATTTTGACAACTCTAGAGTATAAACCATAGGATCTTGGGTTACTTTCTTCTGCAATCACTTGATAAACAATGCATAAAAACCATTACGATGTGAATCTTCAGCTTACGCCATATAACACAAACAAAGAATCCTCAACCAAGATCCCATAAGTGAGATAATAGCAGCAAAAGTCGGACTTACACGGAAACGTTGCAACATGAGAATAATCTAGCGGAAAAAAAATTGCCCATAATACGACCATTACAAGTTGTACAGCAAGAGAGGGCAAATTCTATTGTATAAAATCTAAAACAAATTGGCAGTGTACTGTTCGCGAAACTTGAGGATTAATACAAATATGAATAATCTCAATTTCTGTTTAACTTTTTACACTGACTCTCCAGTCTCCCCCGATTCCATCCCATGTCCGTCCTTGGACTTCGCTGAAGGATGTGGAAAATTAACTGCAGCACCTAGTGAATATGATGACTAAAGCCCAAGGTTTAAAAGAAGCTGGCTCCATCTTGGGGGTTCTTCATCGAAGATGTAGGTCAGAGGAGATATCAGAACACCACTGCCTCCAATCTGCAACAAATAACCTATGGCCATAATGTTCACAATTCACAGAGCCCCAGACCGGGGAGGGAGGGTAATAGACCACCCAGTATATTTACATACATGAGGAGAAAGAAAGAAGGTGATACAGTCAGCAGGGCAGGTGCAAGAGTTGATGCAGGGAATCAAACTTAGTTATCTATCTGTTATTAGTTAGTTATCGGGGGTATTATGGGGAATTGAGGGAGTGAGGAAGTGTCGATAAATGTGAGAGTAGGGGGGCAGGGAATGGGCATTCACGTTTGTTGAGTCTTGTGGGACAGACCAGGCCTCTCGAAAAGCCTTGGATCTGTTTCCCCTTTGTTTTCCAGTAATTCATTCAAGGAAGTAATAGTTTATTTCATTGTTGAGTTCATATTGCCTAGGGTCCTATCAAATTTGGTATCAGAGCAACAGTCCTGACAGGATGACTCTCGCGGATCGGGTTAGCGAATTGGAAGCCAGTATTGGAGGAATGCGTCTAGAAATGCAGGAAGGACTGGGAGCCATGAGAAAGGAACTCCAAAGCCTTATGACAATCCTAATCGAGAAGTTGGAGATGATGGCGCAAAAGCGGGATGGACATGAGCGTGAGCAGAAGGAAAAGGGTCCAGCAGCTAGCTCTTTTGGGGCCATTGTCCAACCGGAGGTTCCAGCCACATTAGAGGACATTGGAGCCAGTTCCGATGGCAGGATTTGCAGGAAGGAAGGGTGGAGAACAAAGGGGCGCGGTCGGAAGTTGGAGCTGCCTATTTTCAATGGTGACAACCCCGATGGATGGATTTTCCGAGCGGAAAGGTATTTTAATATGAATCAGCTTTCGAATTGGGAAAAACTTGAAGCAGCAGTCATGTGCCTGGATGGAGAAGCTCTGGCATGGTACCAATGGGAAGAGAGTCAACAACCATTGAAAAGTTGGGAGGAATTGACGAAACTACTGCTGGAGCATTTCCGACCGTCGCAAGAGGGAATGATCCTGGAAAAAATTTTGGCACTACATCAAGAAACTACAGTCCGGGAGTATCAGCGTGCCTTTGAAATCTTTCCCGCTCCTTTACTGTCATTGCCAGAAGGGGTTTTAGTGGGAAGTTTTGTGAATGGATTAAAACCCACGATAAGGGCTGAGGTTAGGATGTTGAAACCTCAAGGATTGGGCCAACTTATGGAGCTAGCCCAAAGGGTGGAAGATAGGGATGAATTAATGGAACATGCCCAATCATTTTTTGGCCCAATTAGAAGTAACAATAATCCATACAACCCCAGCCAAATTAAGCACTGGACACTTCCACCCCTCCAGCCCGCTACAGAGAACAACGTAGACGATTCCGTCTGCAGCGATGCCCAGATCCACCGCCGTCGCCACTGGGTTCCAACCGCCGCCGGTGCCGGCCAAAGGGGGGACTCCTTTCAAACAGCTTACCGATGAAGACTTGCAATTGAAAAGAGAAAAAGGGCTGTGTTATCGATGTGATGAAAAATATGTGCCGGGCCATAAATGCCGAAACAAAAAGTTACAGGTGTTAGTGGTGTAAGAGGAGGAGCTGGTGGAAACTAAAGGGGAGGAAGGGAATGTGGGGAAATTGATCGAGCAATTGCTCAACTCCGTAGTGGGGCTGACCACTCCCAAAACTATGAAAGTTATGGGATCAATCATGGGGCAGCCAGTGGTGGTCTTGATCGATTGTGGAGCGACCCACAATTTTATCTCAGCTGAGTTAGTGGAGCAATTGGGATTAAGTACAACGGAGACTACGAGCTATGGAGTGTTTATGGGAACTGGGCTTTCAGTCAGAGGGGCAGGTACCTGTAAAGGGGTGGTGTTTCATTACCAAGCATAGAAGTAACAGAGGATTTTTTACCCTTGCAACTGGCGGTACCGACGTTATATTGGGGATGAAATGGTTAGGATCCCTAGGACAAATGCAAGTTAATTGGGGCACACTTACAATGCGATTCAGAGTGCGAGGAGAACTCATGCAGCTTCAAGGGGATACGAGTTTGAGTAAAATGCGAGTGAGTATGAAATCGATGCATCCTGTATTTCATGTTTCGCAATTGCGAAAGTCTATTGGGGATGTCCAGTCGATATCTCAACTGCTGCCGCAGCCAAGGGCTACTGGAGAATTCATTTTTGAGCCTGAGGAGATATTGGGAGTAAGGCCTAATTCCGAGTATTCTATTAAGGGGTCAGAGGTACTTATCAAATGGAAGGATTTTCCCAACCATGAGTCTTCGTGGGAGCAACTGGAAATGATTCAGCAGCAATTCCCCGGCTTCCACCATGGGGACAAGGTGGATTTCGAGGAGGCGAGTAATGATATACCATCCACTATATTTACATACACGAGGAGAAAGAAAGAAGGTGATACAGTCAGCAGGGCAATTGCAAGAGTTGATTGAGGGAATCAAACATAGTTCTCTATCTGTTATTAGTTAGTTATCGAGGGTATTATGGGGAATTGAGGGAGTGAGGAAGTGTCAATAAATGTGAGAGTGGGGGGTCAGGGAATGGGCATTCACGTTTGTTGAGTCTTGTGGGAGAGACCAGGCCTCTTGAAAAGCCTTGGATCTGTTTCCCCTTTGTTTTCCAGTAATTCATTCAAGGAAGTAATAGTTTATTTAATTGTTGAGTGGGTTAATTTCACAAACGGTCAATAAATGTGAGAGTGGGGGGTCAGGGAATGGGCATTCACGTTTGTTGAGTCTTGTGGGAGAGACCAGGCCTCTTGAAAAGCCTTGGATCTGTTTCCCCTTTGTTTTCCAGTAATTCATTCAAGGAAGTAATAGTTTATTTAATTGTTGAGTGGGTTAATTTCACAAACGGTCAATAAATGTGAGAGTGGGGGGTCAGGGAATGGGCATTCACGTTTGTTGAGTCTTGTGGGAGAGACCAGGCCTCTTGAAAAGCCTTGGATCTGTTTCCCCTTTGTTTTCCAGTAATTCATTCAAGGAAGTAATAGTTTATTTAATTGTTGAGTGGGTTAATTTCACAAACGGTCACTGAACTTACAGAAAAATTACAAAACGGTCATTGAAATTTAAAACTTTCAATAACGGTCACTTAAGTATTGGGACGCTTTCAAAAATGGTCACTGAAATTTAAAAAAATTTTAGCTACTTTTGCGGCAATTTTTCGACCACTTCTGACCACCGATATCACCGAATTTTGATACCGTTGGAAAGCCTACAATGTCCTCTTCAATTACAACAAAAAATCTCCCCCAAACTCCAAGGATTCGGCCGGAATAAACCCACAAAGTTGGCTACCCGAAAAGGCAAAAATCTGCCCAAATTTTCAGATTTTTGGTGGACTTTTGCGGCAATTTTTTGACAACTTCTGACCACCAAAATAGCCAAATTTTGATACCGTTGGAAAACCCACAATGTCCTCTTCAATTAGAATCCAAAATCTCCCCCAAACTCCAAAAGATTCGGCCGGAATAAACTCACAAAGTTGGCATCCCAGATTTTCGCCTTTTTGGGATGCCAGCTTTGCGGGTTTATTCCGGCAGAATCCTTTGGAGTTTGGGGGAGATTTTGGATGGCAATTGAAGAGGACATTGTGGGCTTTCCAACGGTATCAAAATCCGACGGTCTTGGTGGTCGAAAGTCGCTGAAAAATTGCCGTAAAAGTCACCCAAAAATCTGGGCAGATTTTCAGATTTTTTGGGGCGACTTTTGCAGTGATTTTCCGGTCGAATTTCTTGGTGTTACGGAGAGATTTTGAGTGGTAATTGAAGAGGACGTTGTGGGCTTTCCAACGGTGTCAAAATTCGATGGTATCGGTGGTTGGAAGTAGCCGAAAAATTGTCACAAATGCAATCAAAAAAACTAAAAAAATGTTTTTCAATTTCAGTGACCGTTTCAGAAACTTTTTGAACTTCAGTGACCATTTTTGAAAGCGTTCCAATACTTAAGTGACCATTACTGAAAGTTTTAAACTTCAGTGACCGTTTTGTAATTTTTCTGTAAGTTCAGTGATTGTTTGTGAAACTAACCCTTGTTGAGTTCATATTGCCTAGGGTCCTATCAGAGGGGGAAGAAAGAGTTCAGTTGAGCTAAATCGAAGAAGGGCCAAATGCAAAAGCAACCAGAAAAAAGCCTTCATATAAAACTTAACACGGGGAGAATGGAAAAAATAAACTTATGAATAGACAGACAGAGAGGGAGGAGAAAGGAGAAGAGAGAAAGCATGGAAGAAAAAGATCCCACGGGACGACATTTGTAGGAATATATTAAAGACAAATATCTTATGCAATGATTCAAGGTTCTGCACGCTAGAGACTTTAATTACCTGCTTGAAAAAACACGAGAAAGGGGACTGATACCGGAAATACTGTTGACAAATAATATAGAATAACTATGCAGATTGGGTGATAATTTGCAATATTATGTCCCCCAGACAGTACTTTTTTTATTGAAGATTCGTGACTGTCCTATATGAGACGATCGTATACATGGATACGGGAGCACACCAATGTAGTATATAAAAACAAGTTCCTCACCGCTCTAAGCTGCTGAACAGATTTGTACAGTGCTTTCTTTGGTACACAAATAACTATGGCATAATAGTCAGCAGTCACCCTTCCATCACGTTTACAAAAAACTGGACTTACAGTGGGCCCCTGCATGTTTAAAGATGAATCATTAAACTTGTTTGGATCTGTTAGCAACTGATACAAAAAATGAAAATACTAAACATGAAAAGTCAAGGTTATTAATTTCAATAATACAAAACCACTATCATGACGACATATTTAGAAAATGTGGACTCATACAAAAATAAAAATGTTATACAATGAAAAGACAAGGTTATTAATTTGATAATTTCAATAATATGGAACCACTATCTTGACAAACATATTTAGAAAATATTCCGGAAAAGTTCAAAAAAAAAGAAAAAAAGAAATTATTTTGTACTTGCTTTCAATTATGTCTAATCTGCCACTATGATACAGAGCAGCATATGCATGCAACATAACGTTGGTATTCCAAGTTTCTCTCAATCTTTCTTGAGAAAATTAGATGGGGAGGTCATAGAGAGAGATTGAAATGTGTCCACTACTTCTTGTCTCTAATTAATGTCCATTTCTCAATATTTTTTTGTCAATTCTTCAAAAATGTACCCATTTCTCTACAAAGGTGTTACAAAATTCCCCCTCTTCCTTTTAGCACGGACCATTTAAGCACTCTTGTCAAACAAGGTAAAATGGATGAGAGTTCTAGTCCATTTAGACAATTGTCTTCCTCACCAATGTAGATTCATCAATTTTACCTAGATTACCTAGAGGTCATTTTAATAAAAGGGCATTGTAGACATCGTGACTAACGGGTGGGAGACAAGTTTCATTTTGTCCAAAAAGAAAAAATAGACTGGTCCAAAAAATTGCCCATCTTTCTGCCTTGTAGAATATGTTCTTATTAAATGATGAGAGGAGAGAACTTGCAGACCAAATAGTTTACCATCTAATCAGCACATAATTAATCTTTGAGAACAGTGCAGCCAACGATACCTACTGGAGGCATATAATGTTCTTTTCATATTAATTACAAGAATCCTTCAACATATGGCAACATCCCTATGGATCTCTTAGGATATGAAAAGTATGGATGTCGAGTTTCCAAAAAAAATTGATAGTAACTCCATATAGAACAACAGAATGAAAAGAAACAAGAAATAGTAATGATTAAGACTAAAGGGACCAATCCTCTCATGAATTTGAAAATACCCTATCATGGGCAATTTTTTTCCATCTAAAGTGGAAAATAATGGAACACGTAATGAATGCTAACATGCAGTGTGCGTTAGCAAGTGTTATGTGCATAGAAAGTAATGCATCACATTCCTTGCAAACCGTGGGAAATTATGAAGAACCAAGAACAGAAATTTATGTAGGCACTATTATTTTTTAAAGAAGAAAACAAGAAGTAAAAGAAAAGTAGATTCATTGAAAAATTCATAATTATTTCTATTTTAATTATATCAATAGATCATGTTTTCAGTTTATAAAATGAAAAATGACATTCTCAATAGATTTGTGATGTTATCATCAAAGTCGAAATAAATAATCCTGCAGATAAAAGAGGCAATGAATCTCCTCCAACTTTGAAAAAATTCAAAACGTACACATCGTTATAAAAGTCCTACCTTGTAATGGGGCCTTATTTTGGTATTCTCGTAAAAGAATAGATTGAGGTGTATCGTAAAACTATACACTTCATAGGAAAATTTTGCTGCCTTCAGGTGTATCACAAATATGCTTACCATATACTCCAGCCTACGTGAACAGTTAACATAATAACAAAAACCAACTCAACAGTTAAATCGCGTATCACAATTTTCAAATGTAAGTGCCTGGCCTATTAAACATCCATAACTCTGTGTACCAATTTAAAATAGCGATACATGATTGAAAGTGCTCAGCCTACTAAACATGCATTAAATCTGTGTACCGTCTACCTATGAAACTATGCCAAGAGACAAGCAAGGAGCATTTCTACAGCAATAATACTTTGCTAAAATGATATTCATCAGCACTATAATACATGACTTCAAAAGAACTCACATGAAATCAAAAGAGCTAGGTCAGATTGTCAGGCATGATATTATTATTCAGAATTGAAGAAAGGAAATTTTATTCAGTTGATTAAATGTGAGTGATAAAGCATCAGTGTAAAACTTGCACAAGTTAACAGTACGAGATCTTCAATTCAAATATTCCACATAATAAATGAAACACTAGTGTTAATTGATTTCTCTTACGCTAATTATACTTGATCTTGCATGAAGAAAATTAAGCCATCATGGACACCCAATTCTCACCTGGCCATATTCGCTAACTGTATCCAGACCAACAATACCAAGGTCGAGATCTCCAGACACCAACTTTCTCACAATGTCCTTTGGCCGCTGGAACCAAACTTCTAAATTTGAAATCTGCACATTATAAAATTTATATTCAGCTACAGATAAATATGTATATAGAATTTTCATATGTATGAATGCTTGTAATTTAGATGAAAAGCAGGAAATAAATAAACAAAGGAGGGGGAGGAAAAATTCTTTGCCTGGAGGCTTGCTGCAATGGATGCAATCACATTCAAGTGGCAGAAAAGAGTTTATTCAAGTTAAAGAGTATGTTTGGAAATACAAGGCAATAGGGTCAGTTGGGAAGCTTGTAAAAGGATATGTGGAATGTCGAAATGAATGGAATCAGAAACGGACGTAACGTGATGAAATAGAGACGTTTCTAGGTTGCCTTTGAAATGACTCATAGAAGTGGAAGAGAGCCAATATAAAGAAAGTCCGGCGAGTTAAGAAGGAAGCTTTGAGCTATCTGGAAGCTTATAAAAGTCCACAGCCTTAAGTAGTCTTTTATAATTTCATGTATAATTATTTTGATTAGGAGTTCTATTAAAATAGATAGGTGTTTAAGAGTTTTTTTTTCTAAAAGTATAGTTACTATTTTTGTTTAAATAGGGAGTTAGGAATTTATTGTAACTTGATTGGAACAAAAAGCTCATTAGGATTATATTGTAACTTGGTTGGTTATTGAACAAAAATTAACCTTTGGAGTTTTCCAAGTTATCGGTCCAAATCGGTATTCATGCGTGAATCAGTTATTGCTGATGAAGAACCAATTTTCCATATTCGTGCACAAATCAACAAGTCTTGATTGTCAACTATCCAGTATTCTTGCGATGAATCATCGGATATTTGATTGTGTTATGTGTTATAGCCCATGTCTTGTTTCTGGCTAGGTCACTAAGCAAAATTTTAAATCGTGCACTAGCTTTAACAGTTACATACCCTTTAAATTCAAAACACGTGTATCTTCTAGTGTTTTGTCCTATCTAAATCACTAGCTATTCCCTGCACAAGGAAAAGGTAGAACTAGTAAAGCAACGAATCCTCATTATGTACAGGAATTCACAACCGCATATTCTTTCTCGCTATGAATTATATTCTAATTTTCTCAATCAACGTGTAAGAAGCTCGAATAATGCACAAAGGGCTAAAAGGGCATGGAAAATGGAAGAGTGAGAAGCTATATATAATAACCATACAACAATGAACTGGATCTAAGAGAAAAGAAAAAAGATTTAATCTTGCTTAAGAATTACACCATCAAATTAAAAGGCTGTAAAATGTCCTTGCGAGAAGTAAAAATGTGGTCCCACAATCAAAGAATAACAGCATGATTAAACTTCCATCCATGTCAGTCCAACCCCTATTATAATTTGGTTGAAACTGCCACATGTAAATTTGACGTCCTTACTCTAATATAATGTCTCTATAAAAAATTTGTACCAAAATGTCATAAAAAAGCTAGGTGTTACACTTGTATAACACATTACCCATAGCTAAAAGAAGGAACAACAAATATATAGATGGAAATCACAAGGAATAAAATAGTTTTCCTTTTGCTGGATGCTATAGCACCAAGTACCAATGCCCATATCACAAGTTATACAAGCTCAATATCGAGAAATTGATTAAAATAAAATTAAACGGACCTGAGGAATTTCTGCAACGTACTGCCGCGGATTCACCTGCTTCACTGACAATTGACAATCCTACAAAACGCCCCAAAACCCAAAACAAATTACTTCACATAAACCGTAACGAAAATTACAAATTTGCCATTGCGTATATTCAGACATGAGATGATGTCTCTATCCAGGGAAGCAATACATGTATAAAATTACCTTGAGAAGATCAAGAGTGTCTGTAGCCATTCGACCTTTACTTGGCAAGCCAAGCCGAACTTCATTTCTCTCAGACGGCATTTTCTCTACATTTCCATTTACCACAGTAACTGGCGATGCTAACGAGCAGCACGAAACGGTAAATTTCTCGGAGATATTGTTACTCGCAGGAATTGCAGACGATAAAAAGGGTGAAATTGAAGCCGAGTGAAACTGAAGAAAAATCGTCCGAACCACAGGCATTTCTCAGAATTTTCACTTTACTGAGAGTTTAGGTGTGAAGAAATGAACCGCCGCCGTTGAACGTTTATGTCAGATTTTGGAGTAGAAAACTGTGCTGATTCTTCAGTTGCTAAATGTATGTGTTACGGTGAGTTAAGAAGAAAATTTATATTAATGAGATAAGTTATTTGACCCAATTTCCTCTTAATTAAATCACGGATCATTAACATTTGCCCTAGTTACAACTTGCTCACCTATTTTTAAAAGGCTACTAATTACTCACCCATTTAAAAAAGAAAAAATTACTCATCCATCACTCATTTCACTTTCATCCATCCAACTAAACAAAAATGTCTACGTGGTAGACAAATTTCTTACATGCCGACTAACACCGTTAAAATTTGACAATTTGGATATTACATGTTCCATTAATAATGCTTTCTTCTCAGAAATTAAAGAAGCGTTCTTTTCATCCTTTACCAATTTCCCAATCTTCTATACGAAATCATACTCGAGGCTCCAACAAATTGCGTTTGTCAAGATTTTCATCAATTGAATCCCAAAGTGAAATTATTTCAAATCGATCCCCAAATTGAGAACTCACTAGATGTATAAAAAACCTAGATTGTCCCCAAAAAGGACAATAAAATTGAGCTGTAATAGTTGCATCGTCATATTTAGTTGCTTTATATTGAGGATTTGGGCTTCATGGCGAGGATATGATTTAACTTAATGTTTGAATTTCATTGCCTGAAAATTTCTCAGGTTATATAATGTGTGATGACCATCACATTTACCTGTTCGATTGCAAATAATAGATTTGAGGAAGATGAAGTGGTATATGATGAATACAAATTGACTAAATGTTAATGATGATGATTTTCATTATGATAAGAATGAAAATGAAGGGGTTTTGGTTGGATTATATGGAGATCATGCAGTCAAGGTATTTAATGCTCGGGATAAAAGGCCAGCCATCACAAAAAACAAAAAGTTGTTCTAGATCAATTCCATATGAACCACCAAAAATAAAGAAAAATTTAGCAACTCAGTAGTACATTAATGTTGTTTGATGGCTATAATTTAGATTATGAAGATGATAACTATTTTTTTAATTAATGTTCTTTTCTTGTACATCTGATTGAAAATATGTTCTGTCAATGTACAAATGAATCAAATTATGCTTAGTATATAGTTGAATAAAATTTTATATTTTGGTGTATAGTTGAGTGGATTGGAAATTTGGAATGCTTAGTGACAACATTCTGGTGTTATACAATTGGCTGAAGTTCTTGTGACAGCAGATTCCCATGGCATTCTGGTGTTATAAAATTATGAGAAATACAAATGACTAGATAAATTATGGCATCTGGTGCAGTAGTGCCTCAGTTTTTACAAAATCATTTCCACTAATGCTAACCATGTTTTTAACTATATGCAAACTTCTAAAATGAGTTTCTAGTGCAGAATACTTGGGAGCTATCCATACTGTCCATGTTGAAGCTGCTAAGGTTTATATACTGAACTTCTAAAATGAGATTCTACTGCAAAATACTTGGGAGCTGTCCATGCTGAAGCTTCCCAGGTTCAAGGTCTTGGTTTATCGAGTTCTTCATAAGTTTCATAAGAGAGGATTCAACAAAACATCAACACTACAATATTTCAGAGGTGAAACATCAATTAAACACAGATATACATCAACACCAATATATTAATTAAACAAGAAGAGGAACCATTTAATTAAACATTGCAAAACATATGATTTCCTTTGATCATTCTAAATTATCAACACTTGCACAACACCAACTTAATGACATCACCAACAACTACCAAACACAAATAACAAACTACACATTCAAAACACCATACCTAGTACTTTTTTACTACAATTCCAATCACAAACAACATCCTACCAACTAAAAGACATAAATTTATGTCATAGTCTTCACTTCTTAGGATTTGCATCAACTACAGCTGGAAATTAGGATTTGAATCAACCCTCTCTAAAGCAAGTTGGAACTCCAGGGAAAAACAAGAACTTGAATCAACCATAGATGGCAATTAGGTCTCTTATTGGGATGGTTGATAAGAAATGGAGAAAATTATCAAGGGCAGGTGCCAATTCCAATGAGTAATCCTCTGCAAATCCCAAGTGGAGAAATAGGTTTAAAAACCCCAAATGAACTCCATTCAAGGAAAAGGAAAGCCCAAGGAAGATTCATCAACTTCAGTTAAGGTATAGCTATTTTTTTCAGTCAGATGTACAAGAAAAGAACTTTAATGAAAACGATTTGGGGAAAATTTTCAGAGAAGATTGGGAAAATTCAGACTTGCTAAGGTAGAGGAAAAGAAGGATTCTTGAATTTTTGAGAAGAAACCGCTCTTAATGAAATGGGTAATATCAAACTTGTCAAATTTTAACGATATTAGTCGCCATGTAAAAAATTCGTCTGCCACTTGGACATTTTTGAATAGCTGTATGGATAGAAGTGAAATGAGTGACGGATGAGTAATTTTTTTAAAAGTAGGTGAGCAGTCAGAAACCTTTTAAAGGTGAATGAGCAAGTAGTGACCGAGGGCAAATGTTAGTAATTGATGATTTAATTAACTCGTGGTACGGTCGTAATGTTTTTATTTCTTGCACTTGGGCTTGTTTGAATGACACGTGTCTTACCAAAAAACTCAATATAACGTATGGAATTTAGCCTGTTCGACCCCATTAAAAAAGGGATTTGCTTAAAAAGCCCTGTCAACCATAATGTTTGATAAAATAGCCTATATCAATACTTATTGTTCAAGGAACCTATAGTCTATTTAATCATTTATTAAAAGTCTAAAATACCCTTAAATTGAAATAACTAAAATGTCCAATTTGAAGATCAATATTTACCATATACCCAAACATTAAATCCCTAAATTCTTATCCATTCTAACGTTTCCAAACCTACTCTATAGCAGCACTGTTTGTTTAGATGAAAATGGTATATGCAATTTTTAAACGTATGGTCGCCATTTCCATTCATTTCTTGTTCATTTCCTTTCATTCATATTTTTTATGGATGTATGAATGTTAATTATTGAACATAAATTGTGAATTTAATTTTCAATTTGTGACGATTTTTGATAAATTCTTATGGTTATTTAGTGTTCGAGAATCGAGGCCATTAACCCAAAACAGCATGTTGTCGTTTTACACGTAGGGGTGCCATTTATGGGATAGAGTATACAAAAATATAGCACATGTAATGTACAAGTGCAATCGATACCCCGTGATCCAAAACGACATCTGGTCGTTTTAAACATATGGCTAACGTTTCTACTCATTTAACGTTCGTTTCAATTCATTCACGCTCGTAACCATGTGAAAGTTTAAGGATAAAAATTTTAACTATATTTCGATGTAGCGTCGACACATTTGTTCAAACTATAGTGAGTCACTCCATAATCCGGTAGAAAACTACTCTGTAATTGACAACAACAAAAAAAGTAAGCAGCAAGTATGAAATTCAAAACATAGCACGTGTGATTGTTCAAAGTGTACGAGTCATGTATGATGTTTTAATGCATGTTTTACTAGTTTTGAAGTGAAATCGATACCCCATGACTGAAAACGACATATGGTTGTTTTAAAAATATGGTTGACGTTTCTACTCATTTAGTGTTCGTTTCGATTCATTCACGTCTGTAACCACGTGAAAGTTTAGGGAATAAAGTTTTAACTATATTTCGACGTTGCGGTTGACACATTTGTTCAAACTATAGTTAGTCACTCCATAATTCGGTAGAAAATTACACTACACTTGAAAACAAAGAAAAACATACGTAGAAAGTATGGTATTCAAAATATAGCAAGCATAGTCGTTCAATGTATACGAGTTATATATGATATTTAAAGCATGTTTTACTAGTTTCAGAGCAAAATCGATACCCCGTGACTTAAAATGGCATCTGGTTGTTTTAAATGTATGGTTGACATTTCTACTCATTTAGTATTCGTTTCAATTCATTTACGTATGTAACATCGTGAAAGTTTAGGGATGAAAGTTTTAACTACATTTCGATATTACAGTCAACACATTTTTTCAAACTATAGTTAGTCACTCTATAATTCAATAGAAAAATACACTACACTTGACAACAACAAAAAAAACGTAAGTAGCAAGTATAGTATCCAAGATATAACATGTATAGTCGTTTAATATGTACGTGTCATGTATGATGTTTCAAAGCATGTTTTACTAGTTTTAGAGTGAGACCAATACCCCGTGACCCAAAACAGCATCTGATCATTTTAAATGTATGATTGACGTTTCTACTCATCGATACCCCGTGACCCAAAACGGCATCTGAGTGTTTTAAAAGTATGCTGACATTTCTACTCATTTAGTATTCATTTCGATTCATTCACGTCAATAACCATGTTTAAGTTTAGGAATGAAAGTTTTAACTATATTTTGACGTTGCGGTCAACACATTTGTTGAAATTATAGTGAGTTACTTCATAATTCGGTAGAAAACTGTACAACACTTGACAACAAAGAAAAATGTAAATAGCAAGTATAGTACGTGTAGTCATTCAATGTGCACGAGTCATGTATGATGTTTCAATAGATGTTTCACTAGTTTCAAAGTAAAATCGATATCCCATGACCCAAAACGGCATCTGGTCGTTTTAAACGGAGGGTTGTCATTTAGGGTTTAGGTTTTAGCGTATAGGGTTTAAGTTTTAGGGTATAAAATTTACAAAACAGAAAAACGTGTAATTGTTCAACGTGTACAAGTTTTGTATGATATTGAAACACTATTTTACTAGTTTTGGAGTGAAATCGAGACCCCTTAGCGTAAAACATCATATTATCGTTTTACATGCAAATGTGCCATCTCGAGGGCAGGGTTTACAAAAACATAGCATTGTAACGTACAAGTGAAATCAAGAACCTGTTACCCAAAACTCATGTTATTATTTTACAAGTATGACTACCGTTTAGGTATATAAAACATAGCATGTTCCAATATTTGTTTCATAATTAAGTTGAGACCCTGACCTAAAACGGCATATTGTCATTTTAAACATATAACATTTTCCAAATTGGGTGAATGTTCGTAGTTAATAATACAATTTGTTTTTCCATCGCAT